TAAAACAAAGCGTGAAGAAGAGAGGAGACAAAAATAGGAGAGAATACTGTATATAGTGTGTGTGTGTATATATTTATACACACACCTACATCACTGGACTAATACAGCTACAATCTCTACTTGAAATTATATATATATATATATTTATTTATTTATTTTTTTTTTCTCTCTCAACTGCATATAGCTTGCGCAAGACTTTGTGGGATATTATTAGAATTGCTATGAAAAGCTACAGTGGTATCAGGATTGGTTAAGCTACTGCTTGGTGTGGTAAGAGTCCAATATAAAATGATGACAGGGGATATATAGCACATAATAGGAGGGTAAACTGCAGGTAGAATATTTAACTTTCAAAACAACATATATTCAAACTATGACTTGTGAAAATAAAGATGTGAAAAAGAGAAATAGGGAGACAATATTTACACACAAAAAAACAAGTTAGTGCCCTAGCAGCTCATACTTTGGAGTTCAGAAAGTGGTATCACAAAAAAAAAGAATTTTTGGGCCCTCAGATAAGTTTTGTTTCTGTACAACCATGGCAACATACCTTCCAAATTACTTTTGGATGCGAAAATTAAAACCAAAACAGAAATTGAAGCCTAATGTGCATTAGTATGACAAATTACACATTTGCATACACTGGTTTTACCCAATATTTGGTTCTCAGTTCTTGAATATTGGAAGCATGAAAAGCAGAGTTCAAGCACATTCTGCAATCTGATCTGGATTGTTACCTGCTTTCACAAAACTAGTAGAATATGAAACACCTACCCCATGTTTTACATTGGTTAGTAGAGGGTGACACCAGCATAACTACCACAACACTAAGTTAGTAGAGCACAACACAGCTGCCATGTCTTTAAGTTAGTAAAGAGTAGATTATTTTTTCATAACACTTAGTCCACTGCCTGCTTGTGTTGGTGAAGGTGACCTCAATTTACCCAAAAAAGCAGACAAACAAGTCCACAAATCTGTCTGCAAATATCTACATTTGAGAGCCAAATCCATGCTGGACAAACTCCAAATAACTCCTAGGACAACCTCTGAATATCCTCAGTGAATATTCAAATGGCAACTATGGGTTAGTTTAGAAGAATATGTCAAAATAACAAAATTGGCAGGGTTAAATGTGACTAGCTTCCCTTGCACAGAAGAAAATTAACTATGCAAGCTGGCATCACGTACTAAATTATTTTTTCAGAACACTGATAATAGAAGCATATTAGACAGAATAGCAAAAATGATTGTGAATGAATAAAAAGTATATAGAGTGAAATGGCAGTTGATAACTGCATCCTCTATGATCCATGCAAAAGCAGCAAAATCATTGCATGATTGTCATTAAGTAGGTCTATGATTAAGAAGTAACATTTGTGCATTTCATCTGAAAATGTATCTGCTACTAAACATGAAAAGAAATTAACCAGAGCCATAATGCCTGATAAAGCAATACTGAAACATAATTACCAATTTTCAGTCACAGTGGGAATCTGAGTTTCACTTTGAGCTTTTCCATCAAGCTGCCTACACCATGAAACGGCTGTGTTGATGTAACTGGAGAGAGAGTGAGAGTGAGAGTGAGAGAGAAAAAGAATAACAAAGGGAAGTTTAAAAAAATAAAAAAAAAAAAAAAAATTATATAAAAAAATATAAAAAAAAAAAAATATATATATATATATTTTTTTTTAACTTTACCTTTATTTTAAATATGCCCTATTTAACACTAGTAGATTGGTCCACCCCCTTGTTTCAGTTATAAAAACCCTTACAGTAAGAATAAACTTAGTGGGAATTCAGCACCAGGTGAGGTCCTTCCATGTCCCATCTGCTATTACTCTCCAAGGGAAGCATTTCACTAGCACAATATTCAGTCTCAGAGTATATACGCGTGCTCTGAGTTGAGGAAGGGAGGTAGTGTGGGGAGACAGCACTGTTCTCTGCAGGGTGTGCATCTTACATGGATATCATTTTACAATATGCCTTTAGTTTTTTTTTTTATCATCATCTTGACAATTACATACCTTTTATGCTCTCCTGGGCAATCCCTCTGAACTAGCAGTGATGATCCATTGGGAAAATGTAATACACACTCACCAAAATCATCACGTTTAAGAACAGGCAACGCTTCAGCAGTTTCTTTGTTCTGACACCCAAAAAAATGAAATGTGTTTAGTGTTAAAGACAAAAGGTTAAGTACACATTGATTATATTTAAAGCATTCAAATTCGAGTTAAGGTGTAAAATCCCATCAACCTCAATAGACAGTTTTTGTTAAGATGCAACTGCGAAGTATTTATGCTACTTTGTTGTTTTGAATTTTATATTTCTACCATATGTTTTGCTTAATTTGACACATTTACTTTGGATATAAAAATCATCCTATTATCCTGTCTACTTTCACATAAAATGCTCCAGGCTTGTAACTGTGAGCTGCTGATAAAACCATAAAACTCTGGCTCCTTAACACTGACAACCGAGTGCTAGCACAGGTATTTAGAGATATCCACCAATGTCTGAATGCTCCTGGACCAAATTGGGCACAACCATAGGGTTCAGTACAGGACCCATTTGAATTGCACAATCCACACACTGTTCACTCTATTTAGCAAGTCTGGCTCTAAAATGAGAGTGAATGAAATCAGGATTTCATTCTGTCTGAAAGGTGCCGAACAGCTGAAATAGGTATACAGATCTGTATTATTATCTGCTGGCAATGCTAGTGGCATGACCATTCCTCCCACTTTCTATTTTTTAAATTTTTTAAGCACCCAGCCTTATGCCCACAAGTGACTGGGCCTTTCCTTTAATTTACTGACCCGATCCTCATGAAATTAGGCTTTTTTTGTGGCTATCCATTAATCACAATTATTATTTTTTTTTTAACCCAGCCGTGAGTTATTAAAGTGAGTTAACGGTAAGCAACCACAGGCTTCTCATGGTTTAGTAGATTAACTCCCATTCACAGCACGGTATTTCTCTCTGTAGTTAGATAGGAATTATATTCAGTCTCGTATGCATAATTTATTTATTTTTTAATTCTTTATTTTTGAAGTGCAGGGTTAAGTACCGGTATATGCTTTAGTATTGATATATAGTATGGGACATAAGATGCATATATGAAAAGTCAGGATATGCTGCACTTTTTTTTTCCCCCCGAAAAAGAAAGAATTGTACAGGAGAAATACATCCTTGACATGTGGAGACCAAAGAGGTAGACATCATGGTAACAAAACAAGAAATTGAGCAATTAATACTTTTAGATAAGCGAGATCGTTTAGCGTCAGTCTTCCATGACTTTAACTTTAAATAACCATGTATGATGGCAGGGTTCCTAGTTTTAATTAAAAAAAAAAAAAAAAAATGAGGTAATGAGTCATGCTATGGTGTTTCTCGGGTGGACCATAATAAGGTCAGGCAAGCCTAGTATGATTTAATGTAAGAGACCATTAAAAAACAAATTTTTTGGACATTTTAATTAAAAATGGGAACTGGAGTACTCAGAGGTGGGAAAAATACATTTGCTAGGTCCCTTAATGACCTGCTCCACCCAAGGGGTATATTGTGTATCAGGGTATGACTGTTTAGTCGCAGAAGTAATAAACTCCTTAATCCTGGAATTGGGTGTCCACAGCGTCCATTACCAGCGGGCGCAAGGAATGGATCAGTCTTCGATATCATGGTCAGCCTGTAGTGATGGCCATTGGTTTCGACTATGAGTGCTCTCGTGTATCCCCATTTGTATTAGATAGATGCAGCGCACAGCTTAGCAGTTATTCCCGTTAAGGATGCACACCACTGTAGCATTGGGTAGATGAATGCTTAAGTCCTGAAAAAAGCTCAATAAGTGTTCCTCAGAGACAAAGGGAGATTGACCCCGGACAGTTTCAGAAACATTTGTCATATCTGAACTTAAAGCTTATGATGACATCTCGTGGTGTGGGAGATTTGTTTTAAGGTCAGTCGGGTAGACGATCAAGTCCATCCAGTGATAGTCCTTGTTTAGGTGTTAAGGTTGCAGGGAACAACCTCCTGATAAATGGTGGCAATTCTGCAGGGTCTATAGTGTCAGGGACCCTTTTCACCTTCTAATTGCCTGATCTTGGCACTTAGTTGTGCACATGTGCTCAAAATGAACGCTACTTGTGCCACGGTAGAATCTGGTTTGATTAGTCGATTATGGACATCTTCCTCAGTGGCTCGTATGCGCCCAGTCAGTGCATTCAGGTCTTCCTTAAGTACTGCCATCTTGGAGGCGAAGAAGGCCTTAACCCCTTAAGGAAACATGACATGTGTGGCATGTCATGATTCCCTTTTATTCCAGAAGTTTGGTCCTTAAGGGGTTAAGCTCTGCTTAACAGGTCAGATCACTTTTGGTGACCAGGGGTGGTTCTATTTGCCGTGGCTCTGTCTGCCGTGGAGGGAGAACCTTGCTCCTGCGTTGGTATGTCAAGGCCTCCTCTAGCTCCTGGTCCTCTTCCTCCGAGGGAGACATCGAGTCCGGCAGAGACGTTAACTGCGGATCCGCCATTTTCTTTTGGGCCTGCATGACTGGGAGAGTAGTTGTCCAATATCGTGGGTATGCTCCTTGCTAAGCCCTCTAGATTTCTTAGAGTGCTTCCCCATCGCAATCCAAGAGTGGGGGTAGCTCTTAATGGATCAACATGCAACCAAAGCACTCGAAAACAGATTAAATCAGCAAGATGTATCCGGATCTCATGCGTCTTGTCTGTTTGCTGGTTTGCTCCGCCCTCCAATTGTTTTATTTTTAAACATGTTTGTGGTGATCTCTAGCCTGTCTATTCCTAGTTAAATTTGTGCTGCTGATATTTTTTTTTAGCAAACCGTTGATTACATGCAAGCCCTGCCGGAGGACAAATACTCAGGGTTTTTCCTAAGTCACTTGCAAAAAAGACAGATTAGAATGAACAAATGGGCATTCTACCAGATGAATTTAGCCTTGACGGTCTTAAAAAAAAAAAACAAAAAAAAAAAAACACCCACACAAAACAAAACAACCTGGAGGTACAGCCTGATTTGACAAATCAAAACAAACACAAAATACCAAGCAATACGAACAGCTGCTGCCAAGCTACAGAATCTGATATTAAATATTTTTCAAATGCACTGTGCAACATGACAGCATAAAAAAAAAATAAAAGCTGTTAATGAATTAGCAAAAGTCTTTAAAAACCAGGAATTTTGCAAAGCAAAATAGGGGCCACAGAGATGTACTTTTTCAGATACGTTACCTTAATAATTGGGAGTATTGATTTCAGAATTGAATGCTATTTCATTGGAAATTAAACAGTTCATTGCCTCCACCCCAGCACTCTACAGAATATCATTATAGACCTGCTATAGACTGCAGCTCAGTGGTCGGACTACAGATTATTGTTAATTTCTTTTAAATAAATAATAATTTTTTTTTACCTGTTCTTGCTTATTAAAGTGATTAAAATTCCAGGTCATGTGAAGATATACTCCATCCAAAAAATGTGCAAGCACGGTATTATCAGAATAAACTGTATAGGTTCCTTTGTCTGGGACAGTAGCTTTAGCCAATAGCACTGGGAATACAGTTTGGGCATTAGAACTGGACTCCTGGAATAAAGAAAAAAATAAATAAACAAACACTCTCAACCACCATACTTTAGCAACCCATAGTCAAACATACAAAAACTAACAATGTTCAATTCTAGTAGCAGGATGTAGACAGATATGGATAAAACAGGTCTAGGAAAAATGACCCGGCGGTCGAAGGGGAGGTAAGCGCCTGTCTTCATACACAGGAAGTCTGTCCCCAAATATCTTCCCCTGCCTAGTCTTTATTGATACCTGGTAAAGAGGGGCAGCTCCGTATAATGTACTGCAGGCTGGGAGAATGTCGGATCTTTCTGTAATCTGTTCTTACTTAGTTTCAGGTAATTGCTCAGACAGAGAGTGCTTACATAAGTGGCTGCCATGAAAAGAAACCTCGAATCGCACGCAAGAAAATACACAGGAACGAGTCAGACCATGTATCTGAATGAAACTGTATTAGATATGGCAACTCATATAGACAGTGAACAGGGGGAACACACAGACACAGCTGAGTAGTAACATGACATCTCTAAATATGGAAATAATGCGCCATGGTAGATGCCGCTTACTATTTAATACGGTAATAAAGTATACACCACGGTTCTATTGATTTGTACGGATTTTATCTCTCCCTTAGCAGAAATGAGAGTATAGATCCTTACTAACAATACATTTTGTGTAGCCTTTACTGATAATTCAACTTACATCTCTCCAACAACATGATTCAAAAAGAGGACTTTGGGAAAGCATTGTATTGTGACACATCTTCAGAAACCTACAAAGAAACAAACAAAAATAACTACAAAGTACAACAGTCTCATCACAATGGACTTCAGAACTCAAACGATTTCGGTTATGACAAAAGTTAGTGGCACTAATGCAGAGACCCATCACATTTGTGCACATATAAATATGTTTATAGAATGCATGTAGCATACACTTTGCTGAAAATCTGCCTTATGGCCTCTGATATGTATCAGAAGTCTTTTTGCCCACTTACTCTATAGTGATATACTAAACCAAAAATGATTTCACTCAAACATACTCTTGGAAAACCTCCCATTCAGTGTTGCTCAAGCCAGAAATTCTCATTTCCTCCTGAAAACCATATATTCCACCCACCCCAAAACACTTCAGTCCAGCTGTTACCCAACCTTGATCTTGCATATTTATTCTAAAGCATGATGTTTGCCTAGTCCTGCTGATGCTGCTGGCAATCTCTCAGTAATTTGTATAGTTGTAAGTTCACCAACGTATAACTCAAAACGTTGACGATAAAATGATGAATTCTTTAAGGTAATTCTATGTAAATGGATAGGTTTTGTGTACATACTCTGCTTAGTTTAAAGAAAGGATTGAAAAGGCAGATGTGGGACCAAAATAAAGACCAAATAATTATTAGTCACCTTCCAGCCTGCTCGATCACAGAACGCACAGAATATAGTGCTCTAGGCATGTCTGGAGGGAGGTTGCTTGTAGTGTATAACCGGTGTTCTTTCTAGAATTCCAAATAAAAATATTACTTATACAAATTATGGTAAAATAACTCACAAAATAACTTCTTTTGGATCAACAGTAAAAACATATGTGAGGAAGGCTGAACTTGATGGATGCAAGTCTCTTTTCAGCTATGTAACTATGTAATTGTATTTCCCAATGTGACACAACACTGCATAAAGTGGTACCTAAATAGCATCAGACTGAAATAAAGGTTTACACGAGAAACACATTAATTAGCAATGTTGACTAACACTTCTAAAATAAACTGCTGCAAATAAGATTTAAATTGATAATAAAGAAAGCTGTTTTAGGATC